TTGAATACTAACCCTTTATCCGGTATGTCATTTGCAAACATCTTCTCTCATTCCGTTGGTTGCCTTTTAGTTTTGCTGACTGTTTCCTTTGCTGTGCAGAAGCTTTTTATCTTGATGAGGTCCCAATAGTTCATTTTTGCTTTTATATTCCTTGCCTTGGGAGACATGTGGAGTAAGAAATTGCTGCAGCTGAGGTCAAAAAGATTGTTGCCTGTTTTGTCTTCTAGGGTTTTGATGGTTCCTGTCTCACATTTAGGTCTTTCATCCATTTTGAGTTTATTTTTGTATATGGTGTAAGAGAGTGGTCCAGTTTCATTCCCCTTCATGTTGCTATCCGGTTCTCCCAGCACCACTTGCTAAAGAGACCATCTTCTTTCCATTGGATATTCTTTCCTGTAGTCAGAGATATTTAAAGGCAAAGGAGAAAAAAAAAAAAAGGTCTGGGTAATAAGTTGCAAAGGTACTTAGTACATCTGTTAACCCTCTGGTTACCAGTTTCATTTCCATACAGGCACTTCATGTGTTTTCCTTGGATTTTAGGGAATGTTGGGAAGTTTGGGGTTCTGTGTAACACATTATTAATTTTTCCTACCTAAAATACCAAGTGGGGGCGCCTGGGTGGCCCAGTTGGCTAAATTTCTGACTTCAGGTCAGAGTCACACAGTTCGTGAGATCTAGCCCTGTGTCAGGCTCTATGCTGACAGCTCAGAGCCTGAAGCCTACTTCGGATTCTGTGTCTCCCTCTCTCTCTGGCCCTTCCCCACTAGCGTTCTGTCTCTCTCAAAAATAAACGTTAAAATACCAGGTGTTGGTGAGGATATGGAAGAACTGGAAATCTCATACACTGCTGATGGAAACGTAAAATGATGCAGCCACTCTAGTCTGTCAATTTCTTTAAAAACTTAAACACACACCTAGTAAATGGCCCAGCTATTCCACTCCTAGGTATGACCCAAAAGAAGCATGTCCATAGATAGACTTATACGTGAATGTTCATTGTGCTTTAGTTATTAAAGCCAAGTGTCCAGTAACAGATGACTAGATTAAAAATTTTAGTACATTGTAAAACAGGACACTATTCAGCAATAAAAAGGAACAGACTACTGACGAGCACAAAATCAATGAGCCTCAAAATAATTACGCCAGCTGAAATTAGCCAGAACAAAAGAAGCATACATACCGGTGACAGCATTGACATAAATCTCTAGAAAATGCAAAAAATTATGTGCATAACTGGGGCGCCTGGGTGGCTCAGTCGGTTGAGCGGCCGACTTCGGCTCAGGTCACGATCTCACAGTCCGTGAGTTCGAGTCCCGTGTTCGAGGGCTCTGGGCTGACGGCTCAGAGCCTGGAGCCTGTTTCAGATTCTGTGTCTCCCTCTCTCTGACCCTCCCCCGTTCATGCTCTGTCTCTGTCTCAAAAATAAATAAACGTAAAAAAAAATTAAAAAAAATTATGTGCGTAACTAATTCAGCCTTGACAGAAACATGGAGAATGAAGGTAGCTATGTTAGGTTGTGGGAATCCTGGCACTGGATAATCGTTGTCTGTGCTGTTGACCAGGTCTTATTTCCTGGCCAGGCTCTCCTGAACAATCTGGCACTCCAGCCCTCTTTCTTTACCAAAATTGTCTATTCTAATAACCAAAACATATCCATCATAAATTTCTTGAAACCAACAGAACAGTGTTTCTGAAATGCTAATTTTTAACAACAGCTAGTATCTTAATGGGCTTGCTTCCAGGAACAGACAGTTTCAACTAAAGTTCTGGGACAGGAGAAATCAAATGACAAAGTCCTCTAAGCCAAGAATAGAGATTTGGAATCTTTATCCTTGTCCTTGAAATCCCCAAATAACCTCAGGGTGTCCTAGTTTGATATTTACTCTGGGAGTTTATTTGACATTTATCTAAATTTCCTCCATTCAGGTTTAAGTAAGTCATGATATTTGAAGAAGAGCAGTAATGGGACAGCTTATAAATATCTCTTTCATCCTACAGTCATGTATAATCGAATGCCCATCTTACTGAAAGCACTCTGAGGGGTTCAGTTTGGCAAACCTGTTTATTTTGGGGGGGGGGGGAAGAGGCCATGTATAGAAAAGAGGACCGGCAAACTTCTTTCTCTAAAAGACCACATAATAAATATTTTAGGCTTTGCAGGCCAAGAGGTGAAAATCAAAAATATTATGTAGGTACCAATATAATAACACAGAAAACATATTTTCATATTTCTGATGAAATTTAAAATATATTGAGTATAATTTATTTTAATATAGGTCTATTAGAATAATGGAATTGGAGGAGGGAATAACATTTTGCTTAATTGGGGTTGAAAAGTACTGTTTCTAATATCACATAGATTGCAAATGTTCTTGGCTCACGGGCTATCCAAAAATAGGCAGAGGGAAGGATTGGCCTGTGGGCTACAGTTTGCCAACCCCTAGTAAAGAAAGTGTGGTTTCAATGTTTAAAGTATTCCTGAGGTTCTGGCTAATGTTACAGGGAGAAAAGAGAAAAAAGAGAAAGAGACATGTAAGGATTGGAAGACCTACATTAACATGTATTTGCAGATAATATGACCATATCTATAAAACCAACAGAATCCACAAAGTATTAGATTGATTTTATTGTAATAAAAAAATGCCATCAAGGTTGCTAAAGAGATCAACTTACAAAAATCAATAACATTTCTCTATACCAGCAAAAACTCATGATAATAACTAATGGTTAAAAAACCCAGAAAACAAAACAAACAGTGAAAGTATATGGGAACCAACAACCAAGAACACACAAGAAAATTAGAAAATTACTAAGGAGAAGGGCGCCTGGGTGGCTCAGTCGGTTAAGCCTCTGACTGGCTCACGGCATGATCACACAATTCGTGAGTTCGAGCCCCACATCAGGCTCTCTGTTGTCAGCACAGAGCCTGCTTGGGATCCTCTGTCTCCCTCTGTTCCTCCCCTGCTTGCTCACTCTTTCTCAAAAATAAATAAAAAACATTACTGAGGAGAAAACGTAAAAACTCTAAGGAAGGACATAGAAGATTATCTGAATAAATTGACAGACTTGGGGTTCACTTGGTTTTGGCCCAGTGGGTCCTGTGTCAGTCTTCTGACCTCCAAAACTTGTGCGGTTTGAAGCCACTAAATTTGTAGTGATTTGTTACAGTGAACAGAAAATCAATCTGGGACCCATTTCTCCTGTCCAGCTGAATGCCAAAGAAGAGTCCTCACTGCATTTGATGCACAAGCAGAGTTTCCTCGCATATACTTTTAACTCTTGGAAGGAAACGTGGTACATATGATCTACAGAGTAATCTTAATTCACATTTGCCTGCATTTGGAGTATTATTGTGTGGTGCTTGTTGCAGTAGATGTATTTCCCTTCCTTTAATCAGCTCAATTTGTTTTCAGACCCAAGAATGTGCTGATGGGCAATGAGATAAGAAACTATTAAAAAACAACTAAGAATTTAAATATGATGGTGGAAAATTCCCAAGGAGATTGGCCCTCCAGTTCCTGAACAGTGTACGAAGAAACAATAGCATAGCTCCCTGCGATGGCTGCTTCCACCATAAATTTCATCTGATGCCGGATTCATTTGATACTCTAGAAAACAGGTTTGAAAACTCAATGTCCTTCTCTCTGTGTCTTTTTGGTGAGCTAATCTGGGTTGACATCAGCAAGATGGTGGAATAGGCGGTGTGACCCCTCATCGCATACCCCAACAGAAACACCTATTTTAGCAACCACTCATGGATGAAAATAACTTTGTGGGAGTTGGGAAGTACAGGTAAGAGTTTCAGTGTGAGCTCCAGCTGCCATCTTGACCTAGGAACAGAGGGTCTTTTTGTGCTTCCCTCTTGACTGACATGTGGTACACCCAGCCATCTTCCCTCATCGATCATCACTGTGGCCCTCCTTGCACTGTTATTGTTGGCAATGTCTTAAGCACTCCTCAGGGTTATGTTGGGCCATGCCCCTCTGGGTAACAGCTGTTCTATCCCTTAAGTGCTAACATTTAAAAATGAGGGGTCCTAGATTTTCTTGAGTTCTGGCATCGGGGAGATGGCTACTCCATTTTGGTAGACTTGTTTAATCACTGTGTTGTATACCTGATACTAATAACAGCATTGTCTGTCAACCACACTTCAATTAAACAAAAAAAAAAAGGATCTTCGCATGCATGACAGGTTGACTTTCTACAAAGTCTACTGACATATTTCAGCCAGTAAGACCAAATGCTTAAGTCTGGAGCAATTAAGTCTGAACCTAACTTATTCTTCTGACCTGGAGGCAGAGTAAGATGTGGGGAGGGTCACATGCCTATAAAGCTCTCCCTAATTAACCGTACATTCATAATGACTGAGTCATTCTTTTTGTATGACAACTCCCACCCAGGTCTTGCTCTGCCCCAACACCCATGTATAAGTTTTACACTGTTGCAAAAGGATTGTAAGTGGAAGATCATTACTTTCCTTTTCCCTTTCCCTGTAAGCTCCCAAAAGAAGAGGCTGATAGCATTTTGCCTCCTTGATGCCTCCTGACTGTACCAAGCCCAGATTATTGAAGGTAGGTATTGCTCACACTTAATGGGATCTCACTTAATATGTTCACAACAGATAACAGTGGTGATTGAAGGAACTTTTCCAAGAGTATGGAAGGACACTAACCATCTAATAGGACGGATGACACAGAGAAGCTAAAATATGGGGACATGTCCTGAAACATGTTGAGCTGGTACCAGCCTCAGCAACAGTCCATGGAGAAAGAAAATTCTAAGACGGGGCAAATTATGGGAAAGTTTATCTTATCAGATCACCAAGAAACAGGCAAATCAAAGGGCAACCAGCACTCATGGGGACAGAGAATTACTGCAGAGGGAGAAACTCAGGAAAGATTCTGAGAAGCTAGAGAAGGATTATGGGTGCAGAGCCAAGGAGGTCCCCCCATTTGCTTTTTGTCGGCCCCACACTCCCATATACACAAACCACAAGACTGCAAGGCTAATCATTTATTGACCAGGTATAGGAAGTTCTTATTCATGACAGAGTTCTCCTGGGTATGGGAAAGACAGCTGGAAAATTTGGAGAAAATCTTGAAATCTTGGTTGGTTGATGTTTTCCTAGACAATTAAGGAAGATTCTGAAGATGCAGAGATAATGCTTTCCTATGTGATTATGATGGAAATCAGGTCACAGCACTTGTCACTAGATGGTGTGGGGACCACAGAAGGGAAGATCCTGGAGCTCAGGTAAGGAAGCATTCACTCAACACTAAATAAGCAAATGAAAAAGAGAACACAGAAACTTATTAAGCATTCCTTGGATTGAATTGAAGCAAAAAGAACTTCTGTTATAGAGACAAATGGTGAATAGTAGATGTCAAGCTGTATTGTAACATGTTATTTGCCAGAATAGGGGAGGGAGGGCAATGAATAAATGCCCCCCCTTTTTTCTACTGCTGATCTCATATTTATTGTCCCCAAACTGAATCTATGAAAAAAAGAAAGCAATGAAGGATCCGAGGCTTGTTCTGCCACCTTCAGCACTAGAAGTTTTGAAGAGTTTTAGATAAATTGAGAGATAACGGCAAAGCCATAGCTACCTTTTATTAAATGTCTGCTTTACGCAAGCTACATTATCTGAATGAAGCTCCACAATAAATCTAAGGTAGGAAACTGATGAGAAGATTCAGTGTCTGTTTTCCAGCTTAAAAGACAACTGGAAGTTCAGACAGCTCTATTCCCAGGTGAAAAGTTAAGGATGTACAAAGATCAAAGGAAGAAATGTTTGTTGTAAATTGGGAGGGTGAAATGCCTTCTGGGCTTGGAAGACCAACCATAAACACAGAAATGGATGTGAGTTTCATACTCGTGTCCTATTACCCTTTCTCCATTTCAAATTTTAAGTCTTAAAGATTTTTAGCATGTCATCAATTACTGATGTCTTTTGCCAGCATTATGTCCACATGGTAACTCTGCAGGGTAGACATCATTATTCCCTTGGTAAATGCTTAGGTCATTTGTTCAAAAGTTCATGGTAGGAATGAGTCCTGAACCCAGCTCCTCCAATTCCACATCTCAAGCTCTCCTCACAAGCTTCCTTACCAAATTATTTTTATTGTCATCTTTGGACACAAACTCCTAATGCTTTTGGAAGGCACTGATCCCAGGGCCACCCCCTTTCCATCAGAGATCACCAACCTGGAGTCCTGGGCCGCTTCACTTCCTCGGGCCTGTAAACAGCGATCTGTAGAGACAGAACACATACAAACACCGAACCCAGTTTATTTGCCAGAGAGAAACCAAATGATTCTCTAGGTTAAGGCAAAGGGGACTAATTGGGGGTACTGCCTTCTCTTTTTTTTTGTTGTTGTTGTTGTTATTGTTTTTTCCCCCTTCAGTAACATGGGAATTTAAGAAGAGAAAACTAGAAAATAACAATACTTACCAACTTCAGTCAGGTCAAGTATGTTTTCTTTAACAATCCCATGTTCTTGGCAGTATTTCACAAACTTTTCCTTGAGTTTTTGACTCACATCTGGTTCTCGGGCTGTGGGGAGAGTGACAGTAACTGCTGTGTCTTATGTATTTGTCACTGAGGCTCATAAGGGGGTGGCTCCAGATGGATGGAAAATGGACAGCACTGATTGGGTGCTTAGGCAGAAGTCTTGGGGATGAGTTATAACCTGTCTTGAATTTGACATCTTTAGGATATGGTTCTGGCAGGAAGACAGATTACCAAAGGTGAGCATCTGTCTTCAGAGGAGGAGAGACATTCCAGGATAAAAATTGGGAGGACCACTTTGTCTCCAGGTTTACCTTCCTTCCCCTCCTTCCCCACCCCAAGATGAGTGGCAGCATGAAAATACCGTACCATAGAACTCTACCAGTTGGAATGGTCTCTTGTCAAAATTCAGAAGATGTAACAGGATATACTCATCATAGACCGTTTCAACTATGCTAAATACATTGTATCCATCATCTGTGGAGGAAACAGAACACAGTTCAGAACTTGTGCCACCGTGTGCTGGCCTCTCAGAGCTTGATAGGTCAGAGCTTGTTAGATCCACAGGAAGTAAGGAAACCCCTTTACTTATTTTCAACCACGAAACAAATTCAAGTGCATATCCTGGAAGATATAGAGAGTAATAGAGTAATACTTAATGCCTTCATTTACATCTCCCTGGGCTTCATGAGGCGACATCCAAGGGATACTGGTATTTGACTACTAGTAGAAAAATTCAGCCATAGCAGCAACTTATGCTCTATCATCCTCCCTGAGACTCACCCACCTCCCTTGACCATTTCTGCCAACTATGTGTCTATCCTCTCTATAGGCCCACTGGCATTACATACCCAGTGCTCTATATCCTGAGCGATGATGTGCTATAGCAATGACCAGCAGACATCATCAGAAAGTAGGCAGGGAATGAGAAGCTGTCCCACCACTTATTTTGTCAATTTTCTTGCTGGAGGTACATATAAGCAAACTACCTTCTTTATCTGATGGTATTATGTGCCAGGCATTGACTTTTTTTACCCAAGGTTCTTCCAGATTCAGGATTTGGCTATTAGATGGCCCCTCATTATATAATGTACATAAGCTACTGATCAGGAATTGGTCAAGATCTTGAAGATATTGGTGTTTATTAAATTCTTGGAGTGGAAGTAGAATTTAGAAAGACTTTTTAATATACTTACACATAACACTATATACACCATCCTTTGTTTTGTCAGCAACCAGAAATATTTCAGTACACTTTCCATTCTCTCTGTAAAACAGAATAAGCTGATGTCCAAGAGATATTGATGCCCCAGCTCCCTCACACTCTACCTATAATTTGCGTTTCTGATTCCACTTCACTGTTGAACATTTTTGGGGTACAGTTTCCAAAGAGCTTTTATTTACATTATTTTACTTTGTGATACTTTAAGAATGAGTCAACTACTTCCATTACTGTCACTCTGCCACTACCTCCCACTATTATCACTACAACTACCTGTCTAGATAATTAGCTTAGTGTTCACCATGTGCCAGCCTCTCACATTACCTCACATGGTCCTTGCAAAAAAAACCATTAAAGAGAATTATCATCCTCTTTACCCAAGGGAAAATTGGGGTGGAAACAGATGAAGTTTCTTGGTCATACATAAGACATTCAAGAGAGAGACAGGCTGTCAATTCCAAGTCCTGTGCTCCAAACTTATGCTGTACTGTTACATTACTTATGATTCTGATACCCTCTACCCCGTCCGTACTTCCTCTACTCCTATTTGAATTTGTTTCTGTCATAATTCTTATCTTTGAATCTAGAAAAGGCCCAGGTTCTTCAGGTCCTGGATCAGTGTCAGATAATGGACTCTTAATACAAACCCAGAAGGTATGTGTACCCTCACACACACAGAATTCCAACACCATATTCAGACTCCCATGTTTCCTCTCCCAAGTGACAAAGACCACACTTACTTTGTATGCAATACAAAGGCCAGAGAAGAGTTGTCCAGGGCTTTGATGTGTTCGACAAAAACCCTCATGCTACCATTTTCTTCTATCTTTTCCTTAACATCTGAGGCCAAGAGAATGGAATACCACTCTCCTGAAATCTGCAATAAATCAGTAACATGATTGGGTAAGATAAAGGGGAGAGGGAACTCCATAGGAATACTTGTCTCCTTGAACCTGGCCTGTGTGCCAGGACTCATAATAATGATGTGAAGATGGAAGTAGAACTCAGGTCAATTGGTACTACATCTAGGGCTCTTTCCACCATCCCTAAAGCAAGAACAGAGGTCCCCAAGTGTTCTCTTTTAATACGGTACAATTGCTCTTAGTCAAAAGTCTGAAACCACCCCTTTGGTCTAATACATCAAGGAACTCCTGTTCTCTGGTAGGGCCACGTTACTTCAGAATCCTCCACGCTACCCCACAAGGGCAGACGCTACTATACTCTACAGACTCTACCTTTGAAATATCGATGTTGCTTCTCACAACATTTTCTTCCTCATGGGCACAGACTAGAGTCAGCCCTAGACACAGCAACAGCAGCTTCATCTTGGCAGGAAATAGCACGGTCTTCCCTACAGTCACTGGGAGCGAGTCTCTCCCTGATGGTGGCTCCAGTCCCTGGCTCCTCTGTTTTTATATCTGTTCTGGGTCCAGTTTTTTCGTCCATTGGACACCACCTTCCCTCCTCCCACTCCACGAAACGGTATATCATTCACTGGTGTGAGGCCAAAGACTGTTCTTGCCCTTTTGAAACTTGGCAATCTCCTCTCTTTTAGATCTACTTAATGACCTTAAATTTCTCAAAACACACACTCAAGAAAAATGGTGGAAAAAACCCTGCCTTTTGGAACCAGATTTAACTGTGGATCTGGCTTGGAATCAGCCAATTATGTGAGGCAGGAATGGAATAAAACTTGGAAAGGGAATGTGTAGGAAATCTATGTTCCATTGTTCAGATGGTGTGCAGAATTGGGTGCATCACTTCAATTTTACTAATTTCAGAAGCAAAGACACTGCCTCTACCAAAGATAGTACCTTCCACAAAGCAGTAAAATAGAGTTGATGCAAAACAGGTTTGAATAAAATAATGAAATATGGCTTCTATTCAGTATATTTAAATTTCTTTTCCTTATTCTCTGAACTCAATCACTACGTTTTTTTCTTTCCCCACAATGAATGGACAAGTGTTTAATCACTGAGTATACCTCACTATACCATATGCCCCATAAGAGAAATGGAGAAGTACAAGATATCATCCCTTGCTTCAAGTAACTATCAATGGAGTTGGGGAAATACTTCATATAATCAATAAAAACTTAACACTACAAGCATATGAAATAACCCAACTGAGTGGGATTAAGTCCATACCATTGTAGGTCAGAAAAGGAGTGACACTAGAGAGGTGGTATCACGTAGAAAGGGCTTAAGAGCACGGCTTTGGGGGTGCCTGAGTGGCTCAGTTGGTTAAGCATCTGACTCTTGATTTCGACTCCGGTCATGATCTCACAGTTCATGAGTTCTGGCTCTGCACTGACATCATGGAGCTTGGTTAGGATTCATTCATTCTCTCTCTCTCCCCCTCCCCACCCACCCCCCCAATAAATAAATGAACATTTAAAAAAAGAGGGAGCATGACTTTGGAGTTATGTAGATCTGGGCTTCCTTCCTATTTCTGTCATTTTGAAGCCATGAGGACAGATTTAACTTCCTGTGATACTTAGTTTCCTTATACATGCCTCATAGATTACTAAAGGGATTCAATGAGATGTGTATAGAAAGAACCCTCATCATGTTTAGCACATATTGGGCTGGTAGGGTCAGAGAATTATTTCTGGAGAAGGTGGGACTTAGCATAGGTCTTGAAAGTTAGAAAGGGGCTTGTTAAAGTTATGGTTCATTTCTGCCTTGTGCCTTGTCCCCTTTTTCACTTCCCCCAAACAGAAAGAGGTTGGTATCAAAGAAGGAGCTGGGTAGAGAGCAGTGAACCTAGGGGTTGTGGCATTCACTCTGTGGCTCGCTTTAAAAAGTCTTGCCAGCTCCTGTGTGGCCATTCCTAATTTATGTTCAACTGATATCCAGGCACTGGTATTTTGAGGTCTATATAATTTTAGCCATTATGGGCTGGTTATGGGTTTTCTATCCCTTGAGATGGGAGAACTGACCTTCAATTGGTGGCAAAGTCTGTGTACTTTATTCCCTCCGTTTGATTAACCAAAAATCAATATCCCTGTAGTCATTTTTTGTGAGAAATTGGCAAATATATTTTAAAAATTTGAAAATGCAAAGGGTCTAGAATAGCTAAAATAAATTTGAAATTGATGAACAAGTTGGCAGATAAACATTGTTCTATTTCAAGATTTTTAAAATAAAGCTACCATAATAAAGACAGTGTTGTATTAATGACTGATTTTTGACAAAGGATATATTCTCAACAAATGATGCTGGGGAGTTCAATCCTTATGTTGTATACAAAAATTAACTCAAAATGGATCATAGACACAAATTGAAAAATCTAAAGCTACAAAACTTTTTTTAATGTCTATTTTTGAGAGCACAAGCAGGGGAGGGGCAGAGAGAGAGAGAGAGACAGAATCTGAAGCAGGCTCCAGGCTCTGAGCTGTCAGCGCAGAGCCTGACATGAGGCTTGAACCCACAAACCGTACATGGTGACCTGAGCCAAGGTCGGACACTTAACCAACTGAGCCACCCAGGTGCTCCTACAAAACTTTTCAAAAACAGAGAAGAAAACCTCTGTGACCCTACGTTAGGCAAAGATATCCTAGATACAATACCAAAAGCATGAGTCATAAATTGGATATCATCAAAATCAAATAGTTCTGTTCTTTAAAAGTCATTCTTTAAAAAGAATGAAAGACAAGCCACAGACCAGGAGAAAATACTGGCAAATATATATACATATATATATTTACACACACACACACACATAAAAACAGAAGCCTACTGTAATGAAGACCAAAGACAAGCCACAGACTGGGAGAAAATACTGGCAAAAAAAAAAAAAAAAATATATATATATATATATACACACACACACGTGTGTATAAAATGTATATATATGCACACACACATATAGACATATATAAAAACAGAGAAGCCAATAGTAATGAAGATGAATAAAAGGAGAAAAAAAACATAATGTGATTCAATTAAAAACCAATCACTTAATTTCAGGTACAGAGCCAGAATTTTTTCCCTCCAGATGACTGAAGCTTCATCTAAGGAACACACGCTTTAAAAGACTTCAGCCCTCTCCCAGTCCAGTGAAGAGGGGTAGAGAGGGTCTCTGGGAAGTAAAGGTTTTGTGGAGAAAGGGGTGAGAATTCACTTGGTTTGCTAGCCGATGAGCCCCAAGGAAATGGACTCCTTCCTCTCTGCTAGCGGACAAACAGCACTTCTGATGAGCCGGTCTCAGTCAGCACAACAGCAGCAGATGGACTAAGTGTACCTCATGGCCTCTGCTGCTGTCCTGGGGAGCTGACCTTTGCACCTTCTCTTCTATGGGATCAGCTGAGATGGTCCTCATTCTTGTTAAGGGTAGCCAGTTATTCCAGGGCTGAACTTCCTAGGCCCCAAATATCTACCAACCTCTTAAGACCAGAGAGCTAATATGCAATCATATAGCCACATTTCAAACATGACACCTGAATCCAAACTGCTACATTACAGTCAAGTTGCATCAGCAACTGTTATATTTAAAGCTTTTAGAGTTCATCAAACTTGGGAACAATTTGGTAATCAAAGAAAGAAGGCCTTGTTCAAAGTCACTTTTAAAAGTTCAAGGATTGGACTGTGCCAGAATCCACTTACTAAGGCAAATAGTTACAATGAGGATACAGCAGTACAAGTATCCTCTGTCCAAGGGCCTGATATGTAAAAATAATATTTTAATGTCAGAAATAAAGAGCTCCATACTAGATTAAGTGCTTTACAAATAGTCTTTCATATAAGCCTCATAATACCTCTATATGATAGGTTTCCTGTTTCACAGAGGTATGAACTAAGACTTGAGAGGTTAAGTAAACCAACCAAGATCACACAGCCAGTCTGTGGGAGAACCCATATTTGAACCCAAGACTGTCTGACTCCAGACTCCCTACTCTCATGACTTCACTGCACAGGTCAAAGCTTAATGTTTCTGACATGAAGGACCAATGGAACAGGAAACAGTAATGCTTTAGACCCTCAGAGGCGTCTGCTTTGTAGTTACTACTGAAGAAGCTGCGTGTAGATTCCTCAAAAATACAGTTCTGTAGTTGTAGCTGCCAAGAGCCTGATCAAGTGAAGGACAAGTAACAACTCTTTTTAGTAAACAAATATTTGAAAGATGAATGGTTGGATTGATGATTTGGAGATATTGTTCTTCTCATAAGGAATTAGGAGATACTTCCATACCAAAAAGCAAAAACTATTCTTTTCCATTCATGGCTTCAAGTTAAGTTAACTTGGTCACTAACCACATTAAGACTTCCTCACTCAATGCCAAATATAGGGCATTTTATAAGTGACCCAAAGGAAGGGGGACAGTCTGCCAGGTGGTTGAGAAATGATTGGCATACAAGCCCACAAATGACTGGGGCTTATGGAATCCATATATAAATAGATAACCGTCAATTTATAGCCCAGCAACTTGACTCACGCCAACTGGCTGGCTGGAAATGGACTTAGTGACCTTGTCTTCAGTCACACTCTTCACTAATTGAACAAATCACTCATTGAGAAAGCCAGTGGGAACATTCAAGCCATGTTATTGACATTACCAAGACATTACCAGTGCCAAGAAGAATAGGAAGAAACACAAGTTTATTTAATTCATGTGCCAGAGTAGAAGTATTTCTTGGTTCCCAGCACCCATTCTGCCGGTACCAGCTCAAATCCAGTTCTAAAATATCCACTCCCTTCACTGATGAAAGGTTGTTTGGAGCTAACTACAATCCATCTGTGGTAGCTGGGTCCTCAAAAAGCAGATGCTGAAACAGATTTAGTGGTATAAAAGGCTTATCAGGGAATAACATTTGTGAAAGGAAAAAGGAGGCAGCAAGACTATGGAAGGATTAGGAAAAGATGACATAGAGCTGACAACGTCTCTGTCAGGCCAGTGGGAAGCTCTGAAGCATGTTAGAAGCATCCTGCATTAGGCAGACACAGATAGGACCTGTACCACAGTAGTGCTCAGTCATTGGCTGGGCCACCCCAAGAAGACCAGTACCTTAGCTCAAGAACTGAGGCAAATCTGAATGAGTTAACAGTGGAGGCTATTAGCTAACCTCACTCTCACAGCTCAGCCATGAGCACTTTCTTGGAAGGAGAATCTGAGTAATACATCTTTATGTCTGGCACACCATCCTAATATCTAGAAATAAGTAGTCTTCTCAAAAGAAGTCCAGAGTTCTCTTCCCACTTAGAGTAGGAGCAGGGGTGAAAACATAAGCCTTTACCTTCTTTTCTAATTTAAAGTTTCTACCACAACATGAGGACTCCCTGTAGGTAAGCAAACCAAGAATCCAGTGATAGTTGCCTCCAGATCCACCCATTGAAATTCAGCAAGTAATTATGTACATATGGCTCCAGGTTACCCAGAAGGCCATCTTTCCATTGAAAAGATAATAGTGACTTTGGAGTTATAAAAAAACTGGGTTCAAATTCTGACTACAATTAAGCCCTGTGAGCCTTTGGTTTCCTCAAAGAATTGTTGCAAAGATAACAGAAAAGGTTTGAAAGTGCTAGAATGCAATAAGTTCCTAATAAAAATTAGTCTTTGCACTCTCTTCCTCTCTTCTGAGGCTAGAGACCACGTTTTGTATTTCTTTGTGTTCTTCTCCTTCCCCACCCCAGCCAGCTTCTAGTAGAATGCCTGGGCTCCGTGTAGCAAGTTATCAATAAATCTTCTCTGATTATTTTATATATGTCTTGTCTGTGACTTAGGCAAGTTCTTCCCCCTCTCTGGCCTCCCTTTACCTGGGATAAAAATGCAAAGATTCAGTAGTTCATAACTATGGAGGGCACTAGTCCTGGGAGGTTTTGGAAACAGGGGAGGAGTGTGACATTTTTGTTTTTTACAGTAACTGGAGAGTGCTACTGACATTTGGTGACCAGAATCCAGGGATGCTAACCCTTCTGCCATACCTAGGCTGGTCCCCCACAGAACTATTTCATCCAACATATCAATAGCACCCCCATTAGGAAGCACTGAATGATCTCTATAGGACTTGGCAAATTTCACCATCTAACAACAAATTGATGTTTCTCTGGTGTTTTTTCCCAAAGGATGGGTGATCACAGCTGCACTACAAAGGCCTGTTTTACTTAAAGTATACTTTATTTTAAAACATTTCAGCAATTCCCAGGTTATTCCATGCCAAAAATGGCAGAAGTACAGCAAGGGTAGGGAGGTCAAGTACAAGCTGGGTGTGTCTGCATCTATCTGTCCACCACCTCATCTGACTATAATGAACTTCAGAGAGT